ATTATTATACTCTGAGCATACCTTTTTTACAAATATTTATATCCCTCTGTAATAAAAGTTATAAAATGTTTTCGTTCCTTAGCCTATCAACAATCTCCATCGTTATCTTATCGCGGCATGACATTGTGGAGCAAGACTTTCTTGCAGGGCGTACCATACATAACCTTGGTGTGAAAGCAAGGATAAATGAGAATATCAAAATTGAAAAGTGATAGGAAAAGAATACAATAGTTAGTTAGATAGTTAGTTAGAGCTGTGAGACCTTTGTGGATTATTAGTAAAGTTTACCTTAAACAATAGAAAAGAAGTTGAAGATATATTTCCGGGCTAGACTTCACTTCCTTATCAGCCACCACTAACACAACCATTATCAACCATACCTAGATACTGTACCTAAGTACATTTCTTTCTATTTCTCTTCGTCTCTTCTTCTCATCTTCTTCTCACCTCTTCTCTCACTCTTTAACCAAAAACAAATAAGGGCTGATATGGACAAGAAACGAAATAATTATTGTGACTCATACATACCTAGTACCTAGTACGTACTAGATATTGAACTAACCTTGAAACATACAAGGCAAATGCTATATAGGGTAATACAACAAGGTTCTAATTAGTTCCATTTAATAATTCTCGGTAAGAACGAATCTCTCATCCAGTCGCATAAGAATAAGTCCATTTCCCTAAACCCTAAGTAAAAAATTCTCTTCTCTCCTCTCTTCTTATTATCAACCAACCTTCAATATCAACACAATACAACACAATACAAAACAAAATTCAATAACCCATTACCAACAATTGATAGAAAGGAATTACAAAAACACACATTACATGAAAGAACATCGATTTACTAAAGATGTTCTAAATCATTGATTTCCCCAAGTCAAAATTAATTTCTCAATTAATCCAACAATCTCAACTCAATTCCAACCCACTACAAATTTTCCCTCTCAGGAAAATCTGACTACTAGTATCGCCTTTAGCAACTTTAGTCCTTCAACCGCAACAATACTCCCACAAGAGTTGAACTCTTTCACTACGGATTCCCACCAAACATGGCTTCCCAACTCCAATTCATCGAGCCTGCCGGCACAACTACCACATCAATCATACAATCAGTATCCTCTGGACAATACGGTTCATCAAAATCCATCGCAGCAGGACTTCGTTCTCTTCGGGACCAGAACTCAGAACGTTCGTCGTACCCCTAGTCTGTCCGACCAAAATCGTCGTCACTCATCTCACTTCGCATCTGCTTCCTCATTGCCGCAGAATCAGAGAGTTGCAGCGATAATACAATCTACTGGACAATCGACTACTACTTCGGCCTTTACCAACCGGTTCAACCCTTCTGCGCAGCTTTCACAGCATCAGAATCCTTACGTCTCTGCGATTCCCTCTCAGCGACCTCGTCCCCAAGTACCTTTGTTTTCACAATCAACTGGGAGCGTACCGCGAACTCCAAACATGGCTTTGCAAGGTAATTTGGCACATGCACATTCACACGCACCTTTCCGCAATGACTCACATTTACATGCAGACATGGATCTTTTTGATGAATTCACTGCTTTCGAGGGTGGTGCCTCGACACAAAACTCATACTCCTCAGCTTATTCCTCTCCTGCTGTTGCAACAATGTATGACCCGATCAACAACTTGTCTAGCTCAAGCTCTTTCAATATGGGAACCGTTTCACCTCAAGATCTATCTCTTCGCGACTCGTTCGCCTCTGCTCCCAACTCGGCTGCCTTTACGAACTTGACCTCTCCTTCGACGTTCAACGAGTCCCCTGCGTACGATCATGATTACGAGTCTCCTTATATCTCTCATGATGCGCTCCAGGAACAAACCAAGGACCATATTGCTATCCAAGGCGATCCTTGGTTTTCTCTTTTTCCTGAAGATGATGCCCCCGTCGAACTACCAAACGTCGATAATTCTCCTTTACTAGTAGAGGAAGAACTGGAAGTCGCCGACCAACTCAACGAGAAAAAGGATAGACATCGCAGATCTGGCTCTGCCATACTTTCACCATCAGCAACTTCAGGTATTCGAAAGTCCCGCGAAAAGGCCTTATCACCCATCATCGTTGAAAATCCTTCAGACCTCAAGGCAATGAAAAGAGCTCGTAACACTCTTGCCGCTCGAAAGTCTCGACAAAGGAAGATGCAAAGATTCGAAGAACTGGAAGATCAAATCGCAAAATTAACCGCTGAACGAGAACACTGGAAGAGCCTCGCTTTAAAAAGGAACGCTTGATCATAAAGACTGTCTTTACAGTCACCGGCACACTCATGGATTGGAGGGAGGGATTTTCTGGTTCTCTTTACTCCGAGGAGATTATAGTAGCAACTGTCGCATAGGGGCACAGTTATGACGCTATAGTCGTGGGTTTCTTTGGTTTGAAAAGCATCTTTGTTTTATTGTATCTTTTTCATATCATGATATTTGGTTTGGGTGGTAGCGAAATGTGGGATGGTTTAATTTTCTTCATGATATCCTTGAATGGGAAGGATCTTTGGGATTTGTATGGGGATATCGCTGAATGAGTGGCTCTTTTGCCGTGGGTTTAGATGTTTTTTTTTCTTTTTTCCTTTTTTCTTCTTTTCTTTTCCTTGGCCGGATTTACTAGTTATTGAAATAGTTTTGGTGTGTCTCCCATTTGGATACTAATCGATCTGAGTGGTGTGTGACCCAAGCATTGTGTTAGATGATATCATCGATGAAGAAGAATCAACTTGTTGATCACATTTATTTGTTTGTTGTTATAATGTGATGTGATGTGATGTAAAATGTGTGTTGTATTATTGTATTGTTCTATTGATCTATTTGTTTGATACTCTGTGATACTCTTTGATACATCTGTGATACCTCCATTCGTTGTCAGTTTGTCTTTTTTCTTCTAAGTGCAACTCAAAGTGCAAATAAATCAAAGTGCGAATTGTCAGTCATCACATAACAGGTATTGAGGTATTGGATACCTTGTTCTTCATTGTGTAACAAGTGTATTGTATATTCACATGGAGTTCATATATTTCTATACAACACCTATGTCTAATATCTATCCAGCATCACATCTATAATTATTCAACATCCAACCCATATTCAGCATTATCATCAATATCAATATCAATACCGAGCTTCTGAATGAACTCTCTGTGTTATATTCATATATTCCTATATTTATGATTATGATTATGATTATGATTATGATTATGATTATGATTATGATTATTTACAAGTAGATACTTATTCACATTCTCTATTCCCTATACTTGAGTATTTCTCATATTGTTCTGATTTGGATTATGTTTCTATTCTATTCACATGCCCTATTTCCCCTATCTTCAACTGCTTCTTATTCACATACCCTATCTCATTTCCCCTATTTTCTTATTGATATATTATTTATAAATAGCTACCTCAATTATATCACACAAATTTCTATATTCACCAGATCAGATCGGATTATATTATTTCCTATATTTTTCTTTATCTCTATCTCTATTCTCTATTTGTATATCTTCTACATCTTTCCAACACTTCCTATCAACATCATCCAAATTAAAATCAAAACCAAGATCACATTAACAACCCAAACCCAAATCTAAGAAAAACCATATTATTCGCACCCCCCTGAGTCTTGTCTGACTGAGGTGGAGATTTACTTTCGTATTTCGTATTTTATGCGTATGTTGTGCATGTTGTGGATGATGTGGATACACTTAATGATTAATTTGTTTCAAGTTGGAAGAGCTGAGTGTATCTATTTTTAAAAGGAGTATTTATATATATTCAAGTTATTTTAAAGAAATCATAATGAAGCTTTTTTAGAGATTTGATTAATTATCTAACTTGAAGTGTAGATAAAAGAAGAGAGGGGTTTATTTTTAGATTAGATTAGATTAAATTGAATTAAAGAAAATAGAAAAGAGATATAGAGAATTTACTTTATTTTTGGAATTTATAAATAATATTAATTTCATTATTTCTCTTTTGGACTACTCTTTTATATTCAAGATAATAGTTTTTGAATATTTATAATTCTATTAATATTTATAATTCTATTAATATTTATTATTATTATATGAACTTGAAATTTAAAATATATATTACTAACTTAAAAGATTTAAAATTTAAAAAAAATAGTCTGAAAGAGAGAGTGGTTCGAAACGGGAATAGTGAAATTACTACTATAGGGTTATTATATTTCCAAAAAAAAAATTGATATTTCTTATTGAAAGTAAAATCTCATTACATATAATAAGAATTGTGACGGAACAGACGGCTCTCTTCCGCCCACTGGCTCATACTACGTACGTAGCATGATACAATTGCTCTCTTGGATATCCTTTCACAGCTTAGAGCCCTAGCTCTATAGCTCTAGACCTAGGCATCATACGATGTTTATCTCTAGGACTCTTTCACTCTTCTGGGACTAGCTCTTATAACTCCCAAATACCTGTATATATAGTCCTCCTTTTAGCACCCTACATAGCTCTTCACTTGTAGATTCTAAGTACACAATCGGAGTCCTGTTTATACCCTTTTAGTCACACTCAGTTACAGATTTTCAGAATTTTAGCGATTTTCTATAAAAGTTATTAAGATTTAAAATTCGAATTTTATTTTATAT